AGCTTGGCCATAAGCCAGTCCCACAGAGAAGATAAGTACAGATGGAGCTATACTCAACATGGGATGTACACAGTGAAATCAGGCTACTGGGTCGCGAGAAATATCCTGAACCGCGAGACTGAAGAGGGGGTAGAGGAACCAAGTTTAACCAGCTTAAAGGCTTTTGCTTGGAAAATTAAGGCTCCACAGAAGATCCGCCACCTCATATGGCAATTGGTATCTGGATTCCCAGGATCCTAACAAGACGCCATATGCGTTGCGACAATTTTTGCCCCAAATGTGGTGAACCAAATGAATCTGCTAACCTACTATCTTTGAATGTCCACCGGCCTTACATACATGGGCCCTGGCATCGACACCTTCACGCCCAAGAACCTTCCCAACCGCGAGCATATTCGCAAATATGGACTACCTGTTTTGGCGAAAGAATGAGACTGAAGGCCCTGACATAGACAAGGACCCTTACTCATGGATTTTTTTGTTCTTATGGAAAGCATGTAATGACAAACTCTTCAGAGGCATCTCAAGAGATCCCCTTGAATTGGTGAGACATGCAGAGAGTGAATGCAATGCTTGGTTTGAAGAAAATGTAAAAAACACGGAAGTGGATCAGACAGACCAAATGGATATGCAAGCACTGAGCTTGAAAGACATTTTTTCTAGTGGATGGATCATGGACAGCGGAAGCAGTCCGAAGTGGATATGGATGGATGGGCTAGGGAAGGAACAGCTCTTAGGTCTAAGGAACAAAGAAAACTGTATGTCTTCTTTGCACGCAAAATTGGAAGCACTGATGTGGGCGATGGAGATGATGATTCATAATAATCCTTGTCAGCACTTTGGGACGGACTGTAAGAATGTAATGGCAATGATACAGAACCCGACGAACTGGCACTCAACAGAACTAGGACAGTTCGTACTACTGAAGACTAGACTTCCAGACTTTAAGATCTCATATGTGCCAAGAACGCAAAATCGGACCGCAAATGGTGTAGCTAGGGTTGCACGTAATTTTTTTTGCCAGTTGTGTTTTTTGGTTGTTCTATTCCGATATGGATTCCCATACCACCTCAAGTTTGAGTAATAGAATATCCTTCTGATTTTTGAAAAAAAAAAAAACACAATCCTTGATGTATAATATTCTCATAAGTCTCAAAATTAAGAAGGATATATCTAAGAAAGAATACATGACCCAAATAGGGTATGTTGAGATTCAATTCGAGATTGACAAACTTGTAGTTATATCCTCTCAAGGGGAAGAGTTGAAGAATCTCACATTTTATTATAAGTGAAACATCCAGACGATTATGTTTACACTAAAATTAAGATTGATGAACCTTTTTAAAGTAAATATGTGGGATTTTGAGACAAATTATGATGAGACACTAAGCGAAAGAAACTTTAAATTTACAAGGTAGTAGAAATATTTTGAGACAAATCAGAAATATTTTACAAGGTAGTAGAAATATTGTTAAGAACGTGTCTTCATCCTCTTATAAATGTATAATGGAGATAAATGTATAGTAAACCAGAAGTTTACATAATACTTGGCATAAACCAGTTAGACCATTTTGGTACTTGGCATGAACCAGTTAGACCATTTTGGTTCAGTAATGATGCAAAAAGATTCTTAAAGTTTATGTGAATAGTCAATGAAGAACCAGAAGATTATTCTGAATGATTTGACATATGTTGTTTGCTCACAAGATAAAATGGCAATGTTGTTTTCCGCTGCCAAAGAAAGTTATTGGCATGAATAAAAGAGATGTTTGTGGACTGATCACCCACCATGCATCTTTATAATACTGGTGAATTCACTTCTTAAAATCTTTGACGACTATAGCAAAATCATTGAGATAAGTGCTAAAAACTTTGAGCACTAGTTCGCATCAAGCCAATAAGTATTCACTAGTTCTCCTCGTCGTTGGTATTGGGTCAGAAACCAATTATTTTCCATCTAAGAATGTTGGATATGCGATATACACTCCAATTGCTTCACCACAGAGCTATAACTAAGATGGGTTTTCGATATGAATGTTGGAAATGAATCTCCATTGATACTTAAGAATCTAGAGTCATCCTTGAAGGATATAAGTAAGCCTCGATATGAATACTAAAAGTGAATTAGTATTTCCAACATAAGGGGAAGAAAATAAAAAATTGGAAAAGAAAATAAGTTGAAATGAATTATCACTGATCCTCAGAATAAAGAGAATATCAAATAGAAGTCCAAACGATAATTCAGTTATAGAGCTTAGTAAAGCAATTGCCAAATACATTTGCTGACCCATATAAATAGAGTGATCATGTCACATATACCAGCTGTAAATGCTCCAAGAATAGTTGATGTTCTAGAAGAACAATATCAAACTGCTAAACATGCCTGAAGCGTTGTAGACATATTGGTTCCAAAGATAATAATCCTCATAAATGAAAAGGAGCACATATTGAAAATGGTCAAAACAAGGAAATATAGTTTTTGAATGATCTCCAGAAGAGACAATAAACATGACTAAAAGAAATTCAGGTATCTGAGACAATGAAGAGATCTCAATAAAGTTAAGTCATGTATGAAATAAAATGGAACTGATAAGCAAATCGATGTCGATGATATATATGCATGCAAAGTAGCAGTTGACATGATAAATGAGAAAGAGGATCATGAAAGAAAGTATATTGAAAAGTGTACACAAAGAAATGATTGGCCAAATCAGAATGAAGTAATAGAGAAAACTAGAAACTCTTATAAAAGAGAGAAGTATTTGGACCAATAGTCCATACACAAAATGTGTAAAACACGTGGGATCGAAATGAGTCGTTGCACCAAAGAAAAATCAATGTGAAAATGATTATGAAAAGACATAGTCTCATGTGGTGGATGCAATTATTTTCAAGTTCTTTATTAGTCTGGCAACAAAGGAAAAACTGGAATAATATGACCCAGTGAAAATGATAATCTCTGAAAAATAAAATTCATGAAGGATTGATGATATCAAAATCATGTTCCCAAGAACTCTACTGATTTGATGAAATATTCTTATGGGATATATGAAATATTCAAAGTTAATATCCAGAGATTATAGATCAATAGAATCATTGATTTAAATATAATAAAAACTCCCAAAGAGTTATAGATATTTGTATTTTGGAAGAAAACTTTTGACAATACCATATTGTCTTTATGTATTCTAAATGGAATATCTAAAAGTGAGATGTTATCTTAAAGATCCTTATATTAGGATGTTCATATATGTTTGGTCCTAAAAATACCATACTTAAAGTTTTATTTGAGCTAAGTTGCTAATCTCTTATATAACTAAAAGATGTGATTACATATGACAATAAATAAAGTCATAAAACTAACTTTACAATTAGAGCAAGAATAACTCTTATGTATAAGACGAATGGTTATATGACTGTATATAAAGATATTTGACTTGAAGTCTTAATAGACTAAGAAATTGTTAATTATGTCAAATGAGAAATATATACCAAAATTCTAAAGACAAAAATATTATAACAGAAATCAAAAGAGTTTATTATGTTTAATCTCAATTCCCAAAAGAGATATACTCGACTGCAATGCATATCTTGAAGATATTGCTTCTAGGGGAAGAAATGTGATAAAGTGTGTGGTTGTACTCTTTTTCCTTATCATGGTTTTCATCCTACTGGGTTTTTCTTTGACAAGGTTTTAAGGAGGCAACAAAGAACACACTAATGATAAACATCCAAGGAGGATACTAGAATTCAATGATAAAGTCTATCAACGTTCAAATTTCTAAGATCAAGAGAATCGAAAAATATGATCAAACATATGAAGACTCATAAGAATGGCGATGTTTGTATCCTACAATTTCATTTAAGTGACAGTTTTGTCGATTTATTCACTAAGGAGTTATTTACTGGTACTGTCAAAAAGAATTGTCTCAAAGATCTCGACATATATACACTTAAGGGGAAGTCATTGCGCGCTGCACTCTTTTTCCTTAACAATGGTTTTTCCCATTGGGATTTCCTGGTGAGGTTTTAACAAGGCGGCATCTACGGCGTTTTGAAACACTTTGGTATAATGCACATCAAGGGGAAGTGTTATGAAAATTGTGTGATGTCCAATATGGAAAATTCTAGATTAACTTATTCACTAGTCAAAGTTATACTTTATACCCAAGTTATTGTAATCCTATATAAAGGATCCATTACTCATGAATAAAACACACTAATTTTCCCCTCTTGTCTTCTTTACTTTATAACAGAAATCTATTTCTAATTTATTTTTATTTTCCTATTTTTAGCAAATTGAAAATATATATGTAAAAATTGAAAATTGAAAAATGTTTTATAATTTTTTGGTGTAGATGATAATATTATACAATTAATGTTATTTTTATTTATAATAAATATGAAAATTGAATTTCATTTAAGAATATATTCTTGCTTTTGTTTTATTTATTTGGTATATTATACAAATTAACTTGACCTATCTGGCAACAATCATTTGTTTCTTGTACAAAACAAGATGCTTACATATATATATATATATATATATATATAAAAAATAACTAGTTCGACAAGATTTGGATGTTCCCATTCAAGAAAAAGTGTTTATACAATAGTGCAGCCTAGTCTTATTAGAATTATCTAACCTTACATGTCGCCTAAATAACCTACAAGTTGCTTATAAGTTAACAATATGGTTTGGTTCTCAGCTAATAGTATAGTTGCTATTATAAGTTTTATTTTTAGTTGGATTAATACAGCCACTTTTTGACAAAAGAAAACCAAAGAAATTACAATTCACAGACAGAACTACTGTCTGATAAATCCAAATCGTATAATCCTCCGGTTCATGGCCAAACCGATCTACCCAGCGGGTTTCTGTCAGGATTTTAAAACAGTTAACTCTGTAAGCTTCAAACCGGTCCAAACCAATCGGTTAAAAAGGCACAGTCATATAATTCCCGCTGGTCAACGAGACGCTATCTTAAAGGTCAGCAATTGATGCCATTCTCGCTGACGACAACCACCACTCTCAGATCTCCTAATCGAAACTTTAGGTCTAATCTCCAGCCCTGATTCAGTTTTTCCTTTATATGTGATTTTTTTTTTTTAAATTCCAATTTAATTGTGATTAATTTGTTCTCGCTTTGATTTACGATCCGTAAAAGATCGAGAAAATCGAGAATGTCGACACCTCCTGTTCTCTCGCTTGCTCTGCCTTCAGACACTGGTCGTGTTCTTAGTATCCAATCTCACACTGTACAGGTTCACTTTTAAAACTCTCATACTTAATGAAATTTCTGTTTAGAGTTTGTGGTGGTTTTTGTTAGTTATCACTTGCCTTATCATATTACAAAACAAAGCGCATGTACTTCCTCGTGCTTTTAAATCTGAATTTTGGCCTGGATCAACATGCTGGTATTGTGTTGTGTTGTGTTGAGATTCATCTTGAATAGTTTAGTTGTGTAATCTGATCCTTGTAAGATTGAAGATTTCTAATTTAGTTATTGGGTAACTTTAGAAAGCTCCAGACTTTATTTTAATTGGATGTGTAAGAACCATCCAACATCATGCTCTGTTCCTGCATTTATCAATTGTGTAAGAACCATTGATTGGTTGGTTTGTTGCCATAAATGTGCTGATGCCATTTACACAGGGATATGTTGGTAACAAGTCAGCTGTGTTTCCTCTTCAATTGTTGGGGTATGATGTGGATCCAATCAACTCGGTACAGTTCTCGAACCATACAGGTTAGATTCAGTCACAGTAATTTAGTGGGTCTGTGAGGAACCTGTTACAAAACTTTTAATATTGTGTTATCATTGGTATGAGAATATTGCAGGGTATCCTACATTCAAAGGACAGGTTTTGAATGGTGAACAATTGTGGGAGCTGATTCAAGGCCTTGAAGGAAATGATTTATTGTTCTACACTCACTTATTAACAGGTAGCAGCAATCTTTTAAGAAATCTTATTTTCACAGCAGCAGACATTTTTTTTAAGTCTTAGTTCTTTGTTTTTTTAATGAAATGCAGGCTATATTGGATCTGTATCTTTTCTGAATACAATTTTGGAGGTTATCAATAAGCTTCGCTCTGTAAACCCGAATCTTACATATGGTGAGTGCATTCTGGTACTCTTGGAACAAATATATAATTTGCCATCTCCCTAGTATTTTTACTGAGTGAATGTGTTCTTTGTTGAGGAACCACGTTCCGGATCTCTTAAATGGAATAATTATGCTAATTATAGTCTGCTCTTGTTTAGTATGTGATCCGGTGATGGGTGATGAAGGAAAGTTGTATGTGCCTGAAGAATTGGTACATGTTTATCGTGAGAAGGTAAAACGAAACCTCAGGAAACAAAATTTCGATTTGATCATTGATAATCTATATATACTACCATTTTCTCAGCATAAACGATTCCTTTTTCAAGTTCATATATTTTATTCCAAACTGGCAATCACATCTTTAGATATAACAGTAGTTGATGTGGACTCCTGAATCCTGATGGTATTACTTTGTTGTTAGGTAGTTCCCCTGGCTTCGATGTTGACTCCTAACCAGTTTGAAGCTGAGAAACTAACAGGATTAAGGTACTTGTTTATCGCCAAAACCAAAACTTGCATACTTTAGACTGATTTAAATGGAATTTCCTTTGAAGTGGTTGTCCTCGATCCCTAGTTATTCTTTTTTTGAACAAACGATCCCTAGTTTATGCTCCAGAGTTTATATCTTTTGCATTTATGAAGTTCACGCTCTCATGTATGGCTCCAAACATCACATTTCTAAAACATTACAGGATAAATTCTGAGGAAGATGGCAGAGAAGCTTGTGCTATTCTTCATGCCGCTGGTCCTTCAAAGGTTTGTTTCATTAACCTTGCAGTCTTTTCTCTACTGATTACATTCGTGAGAAACCTTTCCTTAAATTTATTTCCATATAAATATATAATATAGTGTTGCTTATATCTACTCTATTAAAATAGAGTCATTCTTTTTATCTACTGATACAAGTTGTCATTTAAATTTGACTCTTTCTAGAATGTTACAAATAATATAAGTCATATAATTGATTGAACCGTATTATTTAAATTAAACCAACAAAATTAATGTAAAAAGACTACCTTCAAAATACGGCAGATATCTATGTGTATACTAAAAATACATATTTTCTCCTACAAATATGGAATGTTCTAAAAGAATATATATCATCAAAATATGGAATATGGAAATCTACTAATTATACTTAAATTAAACCAGTGGTTATTTATGGAATATAGTTTTTGGCTTACTTTTATTTTTTGAACAAATTATATAGTTTGGTTTTTGCGCTTAGTATTAAGAAAAAACTCCAAAAACATTGAATAAAATTTTCACCTTAAAAGATAAAAAAATCAATTATTATTTCAGACCCAAAAGGTATTTAATATTTTTAACTAAACAAAATTATACATTATTAATCATTTATTTAAATCATGTACTTTAAAACATGTTAATATATTTTTTTATTTTAAATAACAATCACTTTGTTTTGATAAATTTCAATGGTAATTTTTAAATAATTTATTGTTTTATTTTTCTTAAATAATTTACTAATTAAAAAAATGTAAAGCAAAACCAAAAACCAAATCTAAAAACTAAAATCCAAAACCAAAAGCTGAAAACACATATTATATTTTTTTGCTTTGTTTATTTACAAAATAAACTATTTCAATTTTTTTTTAAATTTGTTTTCATCTTTTCAGTTTTAAATTAGATGTTCGATTATTTGAGATTTGTTTGTTGGTAATATTTTTTCAAACTAACTCAGCGGGTTTAAAAATTAAAAACCCAAACTAAAAACTGAAAATGAAAAGTAGAAACTTAAAAACTAAAAACCAAAATCCAAAATCTAAAAATAAAAACTGAAACTTAAAACTAATGAAAAACAATCATCACCACAAATTTTGGTGAACTGATTTTATATCAAAATATTATTTAAATTATGACAAAACCCAATTATATAAATTTTTAATCATAAAAAATTTCCGTGCTTTTAAACGCGGGTCAAAATCTAGTTCATCTTTAAAAGTTGAGAATCTTCTTGGCATATGTTATCTGTTTCTACATAAATGCAATGGCTCTTATGTTTGGCAGGTGGTGATCACTAGCATTACTATAGGAGGCCTTCTATTGCTTATTGGAAGCCATCAGAAAGAAAAGGTATTTTACTAGAACAACATCAAGATATTCTAACCTTTTATCCGGCTTAAAATCATTGTAATTCAAATAGAAGAGTGGCTTTTCTAGAACTGATCTTAGTGTTTCAACTTCAGGGGCAGAAGCCTGAGCAATTCAAGATTTTGATTGACAAAATCCCTGCGTATTTTACGGTATTCACTTCATTACTTGAAGAACACATTCAAATATTATCATAAATTCCATCTGAATAGGTTTTGCTAGTTCTGGCAAATAGAATCTTTTGGTTCCATTGGTACCAACACCTTAAGGCTACAAAATGCGAACAGACTACCTGTTAAATGATAAAGTTGATGCACTTTAAACACCACTTGCAGGGAACAGGAGATCTCATGACTGCTCTTCTACTTGGTTGGAGTAATGTAATGCCTCTTTCATTTACATGTGAAAGAAAAATATTCTCTATCGTTTTTCCTTATACGTTTGACGTTTCTTGTTAATAATCGTAATATCCAGAAATACCCTGACAGTCTTGACAAGGCTGCCGAGCTTGCAGTTTCAACGTTGCAGGTAATCTTCTTAACTTGTAAAACTATTCACAAACGTTCGTGGAGCTCTGCTGTAAATATTGTTAGTTGGAAGAACTAGAAACTAATGATTCTATCTCTGTTCTTGTGAGCAGGCGCTTCTGAGAAGGACGCTTGATGACTACCAACGAGCTGGGTATGATCCCACCTCAAGTAGCTTGGAGATTAGATTGATACAGAGCCAGGACGAAATTCGAAACCCAAATGTTGAACTGAAAGCTGAGAGATACAGCTGAAGCAGGTGAAAAATGTAACATATTTTTATCTTAAAACAAGAAAACATAGATATGATTATGAGGGTAAGTTAGTTGAGATCTCCTTGTTTGGGATACAACTATACGCTGTACAATTGTTTTATACAAATAATACAATTCTTGTTTAGGCTGTTTGATTTGGATGCTTATCTTCCATCAACTTGTTGATTTTTTTTGGTATTATTCTCATTTGCATGCATGTTTTAGTCAACTCCGTCCACTTCATGTTTTTTCTTATCATTCATCAGCATTAACCAAAGTTACTTTGTCTCGTTTTTAAGGGGTTTTTTACGGGTTTTCTTCTTCCAGAAACGCTTCTGCAGCTTCAAACATTAGCCATTCCTGAGTTTCTTCTGTTTATGTCGTCTCTCCAATTCACATTGTACTTGTTTTTGTTGGTCTTTGAATTTTTAGTGTAAACCTTCACGGCCCAACATTGCAATAAAGGGAAATATCTCCCCAAGCTTCTCCTCTGTTCTGCTTCCACTTAGAGTTAGATTTTCCTGACAAATCATTGCTTGTGATTGCAAGAGAAATAGTTTTTGTGATTCATGGACCCTGAATATGGTCAAATTTGCAAAACCAAATATCAGACAAGGTACATTTACACCAATTGACCAACAAACCATACGAGGCTAATGTGGTGACAAAGTTCTTCGACACACACTTAACAAACATTGAAACAATATAAAACACTATAATACTAGTCTATTAAGCTTGAATTAAAGTGGTGGTGAAACACACACACATATCTTAAAAACTTTCTTTAGTCACTAACTTCTTTAGTCAGTAGTAGAATCCATTAAGTTTCCTTGAGATGGACCGTTCAGTAGTAGAATCCATTCAGTAACCTTGAGCTGAACTGTTCCTGATTCATAAATTGTGGAACTAGAGATGGACCGTTCATCATCTGACCGTGGAAAGCTCTCTCGTTCACCATCATATTATTAGATCTTCCTGGAATATGCATGTTCATTGTTTCTGCTGCAGGGTATGCATTAGAATATCCTAGTTCCATGTTCCTCGCCTCTTCATCATAGTTGTGTCTTTGCGCTGTTTCTCCAAACAGCTCCTGGAAATCTTCAGAAGAATCGCTCATCTGAAAGTAGTCTGCATCGTTCATCATCACAGGTTTCATGTTGTTCGCCATCATCATCATCTCTCCATCACTTTGCCTTTCGTAACTTGGGACATTGTTAAAGTGATTGTTTCCGAAGTTGTATTGTGCGTTCCTCAAGCTTCTGTTGTCATGATTAAGACCAGCTTGATGATTTCCAAACTGGTCCTTATGGATAGGACTCATGAACAAAAGCTCTGCATACTTTCCTCTTCTGTTCAACTTCTTGACCAAAATCTCTGGATCTAAGTTCCCTCTAACAATCACTGCTTGTTGATCTGTGTCTATATCAACTGAGTAAACACCTGAAACCAAAATCCATAAGAAAAAATGCTTGGGACCAACATACAAGAACAGTGTAATACAAAGATCTGCAACTGATCAAATATTAAGTTACAGAGAAGAGACACTCTCACCTTCAACTTTTCTCAGTGTTTTCTTCACTTTCCTATTACATCCATGGCAGTTGATGTTAACCTTGAGAAAATATGTCTGTTACATGAAAACCAAATTTTAAAAAAGCGTTTTTCTTTACATGTTGGACCTTAAAGCAAAAAAGAAAAGCTGGATTTTTGTACCTTTAAAGGTTCATAAACGTTTCTTGGCATTCTTGATTTCTCCATTGGACCTCTCTTTAGCTTCTTTTACTTTGTGCGTTTGGGACTATTGACAAAGAAAGTGTGGTATAAGAAGAGGAGTAAAGAGAGATGTACAAAAAGATATGGAGAGAGAGGGACAAAGATTCTGGTGGACAGAGGAAATATTGAATTAGTCAGCTTTCTAACAGGTGAGTTTCAGAGGACAACACACCACTTTCTTGTGATGAGGAGAGAGTTTCTGTTGGTCAATGATAAACTTTAAGTGTCAAATATCATGTTCGAATTTAAGAGTTGAGAAAAATAAGAAAATACAAAAGAATTGGAAAAAGAAGGACCACTTCTAAGAAACTGGCACTGCAAAGCTTAATTAAATGAAATATGCGGCGGCTATAGACAGAGCTTTTAGTGTTTTTCTTCTGTTTTTGGTTATAACTTCTTTATCAAGCAGCATAGCTTTGGTTTATGCCTATAAACTCTAGTGTAGGTAGTCGTACCATCTTCAGTTTTGTATTTTTCAACGTTGTCAAGAATGGTATGACCGTTTAAAAAGTGTTTGTGGCAAGTTCGGTTTGCATCAAGTTTCGAAAACGACTAAATTTGCTGGAATCGGTAAATTAATAGATCGAATGTCGAAACGGGGTCACGAAAATTAATTTGCATATTGACTGGTTTGCAATGTTAGTATGTTACCATATTAGCCATGGCTTTCGGTTCTTTGGTTCGGTGCACTTGTTTAGTGTTTAGATATTTCAGGTTAGAAGATATATGTAACGTCCGCTATAACAACCATCAACATAATTTTAATGGTCATTAAAGTGTATCGGACTTGTAATCCAACAATATATGATTTTGATTAACTGATAGGTGATGAGGTGCTGACCTGGCAACAGAAGAAGCAGAAGAATAAGAAGAAGAGTGACCTGGCACCTGCAGAAGAAATGAAGAAGAGTGACCTGGCACCTGCAGGCAACCAATGGATCATCTAATTATACTAACTGACATCCTCTCTCTCTCTCTACAAGTCTAACCTCTCTTCTTCTGCTGGTGTGTAACATTGGTTGCCTCTATGAAGACTGACATCACATAACTCATCTGAAAAATGCGTAACTGTGACACCGAGAAATATGACCACCAACTGTGAAGTAGCAAACTGATGCTGCCTGCCTTTGAAAGACCAGAGATGCCTCAACTTCAACAGCTTTATACCTATCACGTGTAGCAGATGCTTACGGTTTCATGGACATCTTTGCTACTGTAACATTCAGGTGAAAAAGAAGTCTCAAGATACCAGTGTTGAGCAGCCATTGTAACCGTGTGGCCACCGACATCTCAATGGTTTTCCAAACTATATTCAGCTCACAATATTTAGTGTCTGCTTCAGCTAATCTATTCCTCCATAGTACTGGAAAAACAGCTCTGAGAATTCTCTGTCACAGGCCACCGTTTCAGGAAAGTTGTCTTGCATAAGAAACCAGAGCTTTTCTGCTTCAACCTGCAGTGTCTCATAAGTGTTTACCCTTTTGCATTCTCCAAAACCCAGAGAAATGTAAATGCAGAGTACCAATCACAGAACATCACAGCCACACTATAGTTTCGTTTCCCTAAGAAAATGTAATGGTTCCAGCCGACAAGAATAACTCTCTGCTCCTCTTTACATGTGAAGTGCATATACTTGTGTGATGACAACAACTGTCTCACACAGGAGCCATGTACACTGACTTCCATAGACACAACAGAATCATGCCACTGTTGTCAACTCTTCTTTCCCTTGAACTTAATATGCCCTGATTTGAAACGATTCCTTTGTTGCATCTAAGGTCTCACAGAAGCTACATGCTGAACAAACGAATGAGCATTAGTAATTTCGGTGTGTGACCAAGCTCCAGCCATTGATTATGTCACACCAATCCATGATGGTGATCTGTCACGGTCTGCAAAATTTAAAGTCTCCAAAGAAACTGTCTCCACTCTTAAACCATATCCTGCAAGAATTTCTTTCCAACTCAAAAGCCTTGCATTTCGCTTCTTTCGCGTATTTCCTCTCCACAAAACTGTAATCCATAACCACAGACCCTTCAAACAGTTACGATCAACCACAGACCCTAGTTGTTTCTTCTTTTTATTCTTCTGCTTTTTATGTTGCCAGGTCAGCACATCATCACCCATCATTAACATGTTATCTCATATTCTTTGATGTATAACATTGAGTTTAAAATACTTGATCTATTTGTGTTCATTTTGTTTTTGATTATTTGGATGTGTTGTTCCATTTTCTAAAAATAATTCACTAGATGCTGCCAAATTTCAATCTTTTTTTTTTTTTTTGAATGAACAAATTTCAATCTTACCCATGACATGCTCATAAATCACAATCCAATTAAGAATGCAGTGGAGGGAGAATATGGCAAATTTGAAAGTCTCTTCAGGGTTTGAGGGATCTCACATCAAGAAGTCTCTTCCGCTATGGTAATCATATAGGAATCTGTCCGTCATCGCTGTAGGAAGGACGATATGGGAGCTTCCTTAATCTTGGAGTAGAAGTTGCAGTGCGTCTAATAGTAACGTAGATACAGTCTCGATCCTACATCACTTAGTCCTAACTATCTTCTTATCAAAACTAAGTGCGGTTCAAACAAAGAGACGAGATAGATAGAGTTTCCAGAGACCAACTAACCAGACGAAAAGCAGGCGATGTGCTAATCGTCACTCATGTTCGCATTATTGGAATATCCATATATGAAACTAGAAAGCTCGTCACAAATTTGATTTTAGGGCAGACCCATCGGTGAGAACCCCATTTACAGGTTCTCAATCATAAAGTTATGGTTACTTTTATTGTATGGGTACGAAATAAATAACTTTTAATGTAAAACAAAAATTAAAACCATTAGAAGACAGACACGCGTAAAAAGATGTTTTGATACCGGTTGTAGCCGTGCTTGTTTCAGACCCCGTATCTCTCTTTCCTCCTCATTTTAGGTTTTAGTATTAATTTTTGGTTTTGATACTGTGTCAGAACCCTGCGATGGACATGGAATATCAAAAGCAAAAATAAGATGACTAATCTTGTATATTAGATTACAAGAGAGAAACAATATGTCTGCGTGTGCGAGAAATCGACTAGTTGATAGTTAATCTTCAACGATTTATATAACAAAAAAATTGTTTACTCTGTTCAGACTTAGAGATTTAAGAGCTTACTTCAATAATACTTTTCACTTTTGATGAGGACCTTCTATATCGTTTTGTTTTAATTCTTTTTTTCTTCGGGTCAAAATTCTGGATGCACAGCCTCATCTCCAACGATTCACCATGCAGTAAACTGTTAGGAATCAACATGTAATTTTCTTGAGGTGTATGAAGGCTCACTCTCTGGATCTTCTTCAACTCGGTTGATACGTAAATTATAGTGTGTCCATCCATAGTATAAGATATATAATATGAGAACCTTCCTACTTTCGGAGAAGATGGTGCAATGCAGCTTACAGTAACATACACACCATAAGGCTTCCTGAAACTCTGAACTGTAAACAATAGCCTCTTCTCATACAACGTACCAATTAGTAAATTATCACTGATTTTCATCTTGACAATAAAGGAGTTGTCACAACGGACCCTATAGCGCTGTGATGTTGACTGGGGGTTCTGATGGATAATGTTTTTATAGTGAACGTAGAGATCCTTGCATGAACCAGTGTAATTGCAATCTTGTACAGGGCAGGAGCATGGAGAGAAAGTACATGTCTTTTCATGAGTTGATTCTTCCCCATGTGTCAATTTCTGGGTGCATCCAAACTCGGCGTTTTGGCATGGGATAGAGGTCGATTCAAGAACAGTCTCCATCGCTCTGCAACGACTGTGGCCAATAGGACAAGCACAGGAAGGGCATTTATTACGCAGTTTGGGACAGCAAGAGGAGCAAGCTAAATGCCCATTATCACACTGAAATACAAAACTAATGAATTACAACCAAATCAACATCCAAGAAACAAACCTAACAACATATGTTTAACACCTATGGCCGTCTAGTAGATGAGCACAAAATCATATATCATCAGAAACCACATGAATCAGTAACCTGGAAGATAGGAATAGTGAATGGCTCGACGCAAATAGGGCAACTGAGAAGATCAAGATTCAGTATTCCCGTTCGTGATTTGTCCTCTGTACTTGAGACGACACACTCCATGACGATAGGTTTCGGTTAGGTTTCTTGGAGAGGAACGTGGTTTTGCCTTACTAGTCGGCCGCAAACTCACAATCAGTTCAAACGCACACATATATATGAATTGAGATTTCCAATTCCATTAGAATAGTCAATTTCCTTATCTAATAAGGAATACGAGTATTTGTCTTTTTTTTTCCGAAAAATTTACATGAAAAGATACATTTTAACTTTGTAATTACACCTAGAGACATTTTTTGCTTTTGACACATATTTTTCATGTTCTTTGTCCTTTTTACCCTCTCAATAAGCTAACTAGACTTTATTTTCCTTTTACATTTTTACTTTAACTAATGAAACTTATTACACCATGGACAACACAAAAGTTCATCCTCTCTAGTAACTCACAACTTTGCATTATTGATTTATAATTTAAATCAATTTTTGTTCCAACACTCTGACTCACCCTCTCTGAATCTGAATCTGAATCTGAATCTGAATCTGAATCTGAATCTGAATCTGAATCTGAGCCACCGTCCTCCCTGAACCACCGTCTCTGAGCTATCATCGTCGCCGTCGTCCTCGAACCACTGTATATGAGCCATCGTCGTCCCTGTTTCGCGACCATCGTTACTGAGCCACTAAGTCCACAACTCTTCAAAAACTCCATAAATCTAAACTCAGGGAAGCTTTGATTTATTTGCGTAGCATGCTCTCTTTTTGATGGAGTAAGTAATTTATGGAGAACACTGGGTTTAGGCTTCCTTCAGATTTGTGGAAGAAAATGGTATAAAGCACGTGACTTTTTCAGCTATAGATGGAGTCTTAGAGACAGCTCCTTCCATGAGATTTAATTTATTTGCGTATCAGGTTTAGAGTTTTTTTCGTCGAGATGTTCTTCCGCTGAGATGCTTTGATGCTATATGTATGTCCACAAAAACTCTATCCACAAAATGCTATATGTATATATCTACGAAACAGTATCCATAAAATCTTATATGATTGAGAACTTTTCCGACCAACCTTCATCCATGACATTTTGTATAATTCATAAACAAACTAAAAAAATATATGACTTAGAAAATCTGTAAATCGTATAGAAAATCACGTCCACAAATATAGGAAGAAATATGAACCTTGGACATAAATTTGCTTATACAATTTTTTTTCAAAAAAATTTGTCCACAAAATCATGTCCACATTTTTTGAATATGAAAATCAAAACAAAACTTACCTATCCACAATGTTTTATCCACATTTCTCAAATAAAAATTACTATCCACACTTTTATGTTCAAATTAATTTTTGTATAAATGTTAAAATATAATATATATACCAAAGTGGATCTCTAAATGTAGAAAATTAAAAATTATAATTTATACTCGTAAAATTATTTGATTTTTAAAAATTGAAAAGAAATTATAGGCAAAACATATTAAAGGGTGACATAAACAAGAATAATTTAAAAATATGTAAAACTATAATGCACTTCATCTCTCCTCTCTATCATCCCTTTTGTCATTTAGTTGTTAAATAATTTAGTTACTTGCAGGTAACTAGAGAGAATCAAGTCGTGGGGCATGAGGGCAAAACGGTCTAGAAAACGCCAGCTGTTTAGAGAATGTGTGTCACATGCTATAAGTGTATCTGCATGTAAAAACAAAGACAAAAGTGTCTTATAAGGTAAACAACTCTTTTTTTCATTGTTCAGTTCTTCAGTTTTCTTTTTTTCACCTTAAAGGTTGGCTGCCTAAAACCCCCGGTAAATACATGCACCCTATGTATTTCCACCCCAACTCTTAACCTCTTCACAAATCCACCTATACATATGAAAGTTCTTTAGATCTCCCCCTAATGCTTGTAGGTCTATCCTAATCCCCATCACTAATTATATTACGAAATTGAGATTAGAGATAACTTAGTTATTAAAAGAGAGAGAGAGAGTTTTGAATTCCATTCAATCATTGGTTATTCAAAAAATTTAATTTTCATTGATTTTGCATTCCATTAAATTTTATTTTTATAGAATTTAGTTTTTTGTGGTTTTACTCATAATACTAAACTTTGAAAATATCTGTGTACAAAAAGGGATGGGGGGGGGAAGGGAGAGGTTTATTGGAAGATTGAGTTGGGTATTGTTTGTCAATTTTTAAAATTGATTGATTTTAAATGTTATGTGTATTATGCAAATATATATATTGTCGATTTGTAAAATTCCAGCATACATTTTATATACTATAGATTGTCATGGACTGTATTATCTTTTTATATAATTTTCTTGTAAATTAAATGTATGATGTATATCATGTTTTTGTGTCTTTTTGTAAAAAAATAATTATTATTAAAACTAAAGTAATAAGGATACATATATAATTATGTTAATAATAAGGATACATATATAAGGATAATTATTGGTAAATGTATGATGTATATCATGTTTTTTGTGTCTTTCTGTAAAAAATAATTATTGGTTAAAACTAAAATAATAAGGATACATATAAAATTATGTTAATATGATAAGATGAATATGATAAGTGGTGTTAGTGAGAGTTACATTTATAATGATTATTATAATTTAAAAAAATCTGTTGTTATTGGTTTATAGATTTTTATATTCTTATTAAAATCTAGTGTTATTGAGATGATGATTTTTTAATTCTATGCAATACCATTTATGGAGAGTTTATTGGTTTTGAAAATTGAGAGATTTTTTTGAATATGAAAAGAGTTGTAGAGAATTTTGTATATTATAAAAATAAATTACTATGATAATTTAAGAATCTAAAGAATATATGTAGCATTCTTAAAACCTTGTTCTATAAGTAAAATTGTTAAGAATACAACTCCTAATAAAATTAATTTTAATAGTTTTATATAATCATTAAAATGAAAACTTTTTGAATAACAAAATATTTTGTAGAGAATTATAAAATCATCACCCCAATAACACTGATTTTATTAAGAATTTAAAAATCTATAAACCAACAACACTAAACTTTTTAAATTCTTACAATCCTTATAATTAATTGTAATTCCCACCAACACCTTTTATTGTTAAAAATATTTAGATTTTAATGATTCTATAAATACAATAAAATTAATATTATTGGGAGTTGTATTCTTAACTATAAGCTCATATAACAAAAATTTGAAAATACTACATATATCCTTTATATTCCTAAAATAATTATAATAACTTATTTTTTTTTAAAATTTTGGCAATATAAAAAAATTATCACCAACTCTTTCTAAATTTACCAAATCTTTCAATTTTTGGTTTCAACAAACTCTATATAATTATTACTCCCACTAACATCTCTTCTCTTTTTATTGCATTATCTTGATTAAATGGATTTTCTGGCATTCAACTCTTTCATTGAGGATTGGTAGTATTTTATTTCTACCGTTACAATGTTTATTACTCCCTCCATTTCAAAACGATCAATATTCTAGAAAAATAATTTGCTTCAAGAAGATTAATCTCTTATATTCACAATGCATATAATAATAATAATAAATAATAGATTTCAAAAAAATTAATTGTGTTTATTTAATTTTGATTGGCTACTATTTATGAAAAATAGTTTAAAAATACATTTATAATCAAAATTTTAATTTTTTTTTCAATATATGATAATTTTAAAACATCTATTTTATTAAAATAGAGGGAATATATCATTAGAATCACGACATTCACGTTTAATTTCCTCCGCAAGTAATTCAACCAATGCCTGCATTTCTTCCAGCAGCCACTGATTATATTTTTTTATCCTCCAATGCAATCTTATTCAAAAAATAAGTATAATTTGTATAAATAATTAAAAATAATATTAAAAGTTACACTGAAATCTAAAATATAAACTAACAAAAATTAAATTACGAATGTTATACAGAGAAGTCAATTATGAATTACATAGGTTAATAATACACAATTCTATCGTATATGGTCAACAATGGTGGCTGAAAAACAATCTTGTTGGGGTCAAAATCGGTCAGGACGGAATAAATGGCTAAAAGTCCCGGAAAAAGAATACAAGAAATTAGAAAACTCGTATCAAAGTATGAATTAGTTAAAAAAACCTTGTTGGGGTCAAAATCGGTTACGACGGAATTAACGACCAAAACTTTCCGCAAAGTTAAAATTGGTTTTAGAAAACGTAAAAGCATCGAGAAGAAATCTAAGGATTTTTCGAACAAAAGAATTCCGTAAACTTAACAATCGTCATCTTGGAAATCATCGAAAAATCGAATAAAACAATCCGCGATTGTCCAAATTGCCAAATTAGCAAAAAACGACCGTAACGTCCAAACTCCTTGAAACGGTAAAAGCTGTTGTTGAGGTAGAAAACGATAACCTCGAGATCAACGTCTACGATTATTTCTCCTTATATTCTCCGAGAGGATCTCGGGTCGAGAAAAAGAGAAAGGATTGAAACCGAACAACCGACCAGCTCGCCAACAGGCGAGCTGGCTGTGCTTGACAAGCTCGCCTGTTGGCGAGCTGAACCAACCAGTCCAGCTCGCCAACAGGCGAGCTGGCCATGCTCAACCAGCTCGCCAACATGAAAACTGGCCATGCTCAACCAGCCTGTTGGTGAGCAGAACAAGCCAGTCCAGCTCGCCTGTGATCGAAACATCTCTTGTTGCGTCTCGATTTATCTTACTGTTGGAATTTTACGATAAAAACCATAAAAAGTTTGTTTTCTCATAAAAGCTCGAGTAAATCATATAAAACAGAAATGGTTAAACGAAACACTGAACATTGCCAAAATATATGATTAAATCGAGATGTTTTATAAAAATGGCATCGTATCGGGGAATGATCTCGTCTAAAGTCGTAAAACGGCTAAGTCGCAAAACGGATCGAAAAGTCCTTAAACACGACTTTAGACAAGATCCAGCCCAAAGATATGATGACGGTTTAATCATTATTCGCAGGAGTGGGAAAATGTCAAGATTGAAGGAAAAATGGAAGTTTTCCAAAGAAAAATGGAAAGATCGAGATAAATGGAAGATTTTCGATA